TGTGTTCTACACAGTCTCCTACAGGTCACTAGTGAGATGGCACCCAGTTCCCAAAGCAGCAACCAGCTCAGCGCTCCCTTCCCTGGCTCACTTCCTCAAACCCCTACCAAACTGCCTAGGATCACCTCCTAAAAAAACTGCATGTGCTTGCATCTTTGTCTCAGGGTCTAATGGGCTGATTCAGTTCTGCATTCTGTGCTCAAGGCAAAGAAATCTGTGGAGAGGGCTGTCCAGATATATCAGGGCTGTATCCTAGATTCTGAGTACTCAAGCACCCAATATCTACACATTCTGCAATAGACTGATGTTTGTATCCCTCTAAAATATGTACGTTGAAATCCTAACCCACTATGTGATGGTTAGGGGGTGAGGCCTTTGGGAGGAGATTAGGTCTGAGGATACAGCCCTCATGGAAATGATTATTGCCCTTAATCTCTTGAAACCCAAGAGCTCCCTGCTCCTTCTGCCATGTGGGAACACAGCAAGAAGACAGCCATCTATGAACCAGGAAGTAGGTCCTCACCAGATACTGAATCTGTCAATGCCTTGATCTTAGACTTTTCAGCCTACAGAACTGTGAGAAATAAATTTCTATTGTTTATAAGCCATGCATTCTGTTATTTTGTTACAGCAGCCCAAATGGACTAAAACACATCCTTTGACAAGTGACCATTTATTACATATGTCTGGACTGTGTACTCAGATTGGGGGGGGACCATTGACATAGTTGAGCACCAAGTAAGGTGTCCTGGCCAGTCGGGCAGGAGAACAGCAGGGGCTCCCTGACTGGGGCAGGAGTAATGTGAAACCCACCAAGAGAAGGAAGAGAAGAAGGAAGAAGGTCAAGGGCCACTTGGATACAGGAGTGGGGGCTCTGTAAAGGAAAATGCAGTGTTAAATATACAGTGGGCTGCCATCATGAGCCCTGTCTCCCTACACCCCCAGACCCATCTCCCAGGCATCTCACCCAGAATCTACCTCCAGCATCACATCCTGGAGATTGGAAGATGCTTGACTCTTCTTGTCCTAAGGGTAGATAGTAACCAGAAGCAGAATACATGGAAGGGACACTTAGTGTGGACTTTCCATTATTATCATAGACCTACAGGGATGAGCTTATTTCTCCTCCTTTCCTGGTACCCACTTCCTCCCCAGGGCCCCTCATGGGCTTGGAATATCTCTAAGTATAGTGAATGTCTTTCTGTGGCTGTCCTCCAACCAATTCCCCTTTTCCTGGTAACAGGGGCTCAATTTGGTGTGCGGGGAGTGTCAGACTTCCCCACTTTCCTAACAGTACACCTCCACTTCCATGATTAGACATATGACCCAGATATGGCCTATCAGAGCCTTCCATCAGGTTGGCCACTGTGATTGGTTCAGGACCCATGGGGAGCGGAATCAGCCCTGGGACTTGGCTGCTAGTAGGTCAGCGGCATTCTCCTCTTGGGTGGGTAACCAGTAGAAAGTATGTAGCTACTGGGGCAGCCATTTTGCTGAGAAGGAATCCACCTTGGGGAAGTAAAATCTCAAGAGCAAGGGTCTGAGCCCTGATAGCATTAGAGGTCCTGAATTCAACAGTACCTGGACTTTTCAGTAATATGAAAAAATTGCATCCCCTCTTTTGTGTAATTCAATTTGGGTCACTTGCCCAAATTGATATACCTAACTGAGGACCAGCTGACCTGAGACTTCTGGAGCAGGGAGCGTCTTTGGTGACCTACTAAGTGTTTCCGGTGGCTGAGACCCAACATGAATATGTCCTGTGGAGAGAGAGAGTTGTGGGGTCCTGGGACAACCAGTGACAAAGAGACACAAGATTGGGGAAGGGCCAAGATAGAGGGTGTCACAGAGATGTGATGCTGGGGGAAGAGAAGGATCTTGGGAAGACACAAAGAGCAGGGCAGAGCCAAAGAACCTGAGAGGAGAAACATTATTCATTCATTCACCCAACTAATATTTAATGAGTGTCTATTACATGCCAGGCAGTGTTCAAGGAGCTGGGGACACAGTGGCAATGGAAACAGGCAAAGTCTGTATAATGTCAAGATGTGGTAAGTGCCATTAGAAAATAAAGTAAGAGGATAAGGATAATATTTGGAGGCCAGAGCAGGTCTCTCTGAAGAAGTGACACTTGAGGGGAGACTGGAATGAAGGTAGGAGGCAAGCTGGGCATGCATCTTGGGGCTTTGAGATGGGAGTGAATTTGGAATGTTTAAAGAAGAACCAATAAGCTAGTGTGGCTGTAGCAGATTGAGCAAGGGGGAGAGTGAGAGGAAACGAGGAAATGTACATATAGATGGATGAGAAAGAAAAACTGAAAGAATAAGACAGAGGAACCAAGAGACAAAGGGAGGGAGGGAGAAAAGCACTGACACACCAAGAGAGAAAGATACAGAGAGAGGCAGAGGGAGAGACAGAACCGCCAAGATCGCCTTGGAAGGGAAGGACCCTGCTAGGAGGTGCACAGAGGTGTCCTGTGGGTGCCCGGGTGGGGATGTCCCCCACCTGCTCTCACCTCAAGGCCTTGTCCCCTGCTCTGAGGGCCCCTGTGGCCACACAGCTCACAGGGAGCCCCTGGTGTCCAGGCTGTCTTTTGTCCCAAGGGCCCGAAGCCCCCAATGTCCCCTGCTGGGTCCCACTCTAACTCTGCAGGAGTGGGGAGGCTACTGGGTTCCCAGGGCCCCCAGATCCCACCAGGTCCTGGACAGTCTGAATCCGCCTCAATCTCCAAATCCTGGTCCAGTGTGTTGGCCTCCTTGAATACCTGGTCAGAGGACAGAGGTCATGGGGATTGTGAAATTGGCACCAGGACTAGGGATCACCAGGTTGGGCCATACCAGGCTGTAGCTGACCAGCTGGGCCTGCAGCCGCCACAACCGCCAGAAGATGCTGTCTAGGTGGGCTCCAAGGGCCCTCAGGACCTGCTGCAGGGATGCCCAGGCCTGAGGCTCACTCCGCTGTGCCAGCCCCTCACTGAACGCCAGCAGTGCATCTACACGCTCAGCTGTCCCACGTAGGTCTGCCTGTAGGGTCTGGGAACACATGGTTGGACACCACCACCATCCCCATATACACCAGGGGAACCAGAAACCTGGGACCTGGAATTACATGGCCCCCTTTCCTACTGAGAACATGGAGTAAACCCATCTTTCACCCAAGGGAGCTGGTACCCCTCCTGAGGCCCTGCCCACCTCCCCATACCTTGGCCTCCCATTGCCCACCTGCAGCTGGACCATCCCATTCTGGGCCAATGTCCAGGGCCCCAGGCCTCGCTCTAGGTCCTGCAGCCGAAGACCCAGGCCCAATAGGCAAAGGTGCAGGCGGTCCTGCTCAGCCTCCAATACCTCCCAGCCAGAGATAGGGCTCTGGGAAACACAAAGGGCTGAGTCAGTGCCAATGGGCCAACCAAAACCTTGTCCCCACTCTCATTGCCACCCCTCTTTTGCAGACTCCTCCTTTCTGGATGCTTCTCTGAAGCAGAGTCCATCTCTGGCTCTGCACCAGGGCTGCTCCCACCTTGAGTCCTTTCCAGTGGAAGGCCTGGGGACTTCTAGTTCAAAGTCTCAAGGTTTTCAAAGCTCCTAGAAACTTGGGACATGCAGGACCTGGAGGTCTGAGGATCACTCTGCTATGCCAGCCCCTCACTGAACACCAGCAGTGCATCTACTGGGAGGGGGTGATGGAGCTGGATACCCCTACAAGGAATGAGGCTGCACCAGGGCCAATCATGAAATAATTCTCTCTCAGTTTGAAATACTTCTATAATGATTGACAAAGAATCATTTATAGAGTGTCCCTCCCTCCACAGGTGCCCAACACTTTTCCAGAATCATCAATTCATCCCCATGTGGAGGCTAGATTCTAGGGGAAAGAGAGGAGGTGGGGCACAAGGGGCCTGGGTTACCTCAGCTCACCTCACGGTGTTTGCCCCCAGTGGAGTCCTCATGGGAAGAAGGCGTTGGCAATCTAGGGTGACCAGATGTAGGCTCAGTGTTCTTCAGCCCACCCTGTAAGTGCTCAGAAGGATCCAAAGAGCCCTGCCCCAGGGTCCGGGCTTGCTCTGGTCTGGGAGGTAGGAGGCATTGGCAGACCCTTGGGTGAACCTAGGTGCCCATTATCCACTCTAGCCTACCCATCCCCAGCTTCCTTTCCCACATCCCCAGGTGATCAGAGCCACAGTACCTCTTACCCTCAAAGTGCCCCTGCTACTGCCATCACCCCTTTAGGACCCAAGTTTCAAAAGCCCCAGCTCCTACCTGATTCTTTCCTCTTCAGAAGGGCAGACGGTGGATTCAGCAATGTCCAGTTCCCTAGGGGCTCCAGGGGGGTGATTGAGGGGCTCTGAGTGGGGTCCAGGGTCCAGGGCCATAGTTGGGGGCCTAGGGATAGAGTCAGTGAGAATACTTTGGTCCCAGCCCCAGCCCCTTGGAGATCCCAGCTGCAGCCTAGTTCCTCTCTCTCTGGAGGGACTGCTGACTCCACCTTTACCCCATTCCCCGTAGCCCTAGCTCTGGGACCTGCTGATTTTCACTCCAAAGTGAGGAGCACACTTACCCCTCAGTCTTTGTCTCTAGGGACACACTAACTCTCGTTCCGACTCCCACAGTCAGCTAACTTTAAGGTATCCAGCCTTTTCCTAGACAGTGGTGTCCCCTCAGACATCCACAGGACTCACCCAGGCCCCAGGCAGATGGAGGCCCAGGAGCAGGCTCAGCTTTACCTCCTTTCAAGTGAAACCTGGACCCAGGTAACTTGATGCCAGCTCAGGTGACAGTGGCACAACTTTTAACTCCCTAGCAAACAAGTAACTGAACTTTCTAAGCTCACCCCAACCCACCCAATGGGGTATAATCCTGCCCCCTCAAGAGTCCTGGATTCTGCCTGGCTCATCTGAGCCATTCTTCTGACCCCCAGGACCCACACCATTTAGGGTCCCAGACTCAGCACCTCTCAAGAACACAAGCATCTGTCCCTCCACCCCCAATCCAAAACCAAAGAAAGATTTTTGTTGGTTTATTTGAAATGAAGCCTTTCTGTGGTTCCCACAAAGTTATTGGGAAAATAACTCAGGGGACCCGCCTCTTCCCCAGGGTTTCAAGGTTGCAGCTGTCCGAAACTTGATAGTCCGGGAAGCCCAGCAGGTCCTGGGGCCAGGCGTCACTTGCTAAGGAGCAGTCCAGCCCGCAGCACACGGGGCACCCGGCGGATGGTCAGCGAGACACGGGTGCCACGGACCAGGTGGGCTCCAGGCCATGCCGATGGGCATGCGGCAGCGTTGAGCGGTAGAGAGGCGGTGTCGAGTGGATCTACACAGGCCGCTGCGATGCCATGGAGGAGGTGCGTGTAGGCAGTGCCACGAAGTACCAGGAGGCTGCGGGGTTCCAGCAACAGCGAGGTGGCCGGCCGGGGTGGGGGCCGGGGCTGCGGGGAGTATAAATGGTCAGTGGGTCCCCAAAAGTAGAAGGGTAGAAGAAGTTAGCAGACTTTGAGAGTCAGAGAGCGAGGGTCAGCGTGTCCCCAGAGACAGAGACTGAGGGGCAAGTGTGCGCCTCATTTTGGAGTGAAAATCAGCAGGTCCCAGAGCCAGGGCTACAGGGAACGGGGTGAGGGTAGGGTCAGCAGTCCCTCCAGAGAGGGAGGAACTAGGCTGCAGCTGGGATCTCCAAGGGGCTAGGACCAAGGTATCAGTGGTCACAGGGAACTGGGTTGAGGGCTTGACAGAAGTCAGGAGTTGGGGTGGGCCGGGATGGGGAAGCAGAATGAGGCAGAGATGATCTGGTGTAGTCTGGGTCTATCTGCAGACATCAGGATTTTTGAGGAAACTGGCACAATAGGCAGGATATCCGGGGTAATCAGGAGCATGCAGCACTACAGAGGGACCTAAGAAGCAGCGGGGGTCAGGATGTCCAGGGGGATTTCTGTGAACACTGTAGTGTCAGAAATGCATCACTCAGAGAAAGAGGTCAGGGACTCTGCTGTCATGAGCAGCCCTAGAGGACAGTCAGGCCATCTAGGGAGTCTTTGAGCAGCAAGCCAGGTGCCAAGGTGTGGGAGGTCAGTGTTGGGGTGCTCTGTACAGTAGGCAGAGAGAGTTAGGATATCTGGAAGGATGTCAAGGACACTCACAAATGAATGGTGTTGGAGTATCTGAGGATATCAGTGTCTGCTGGAGTATTGGGGAACCCTGCATGGGTTATGTGGACCTTGGGCTACTGGAGCACTCTGAACGTGTGGGCCAAGGGATCTTCAGGGTGTCAGGACATTCCAATCAGCAGGTAGGGGTATTGGGAGTATCTGTGGATATCAAGCTTTCTAGGGCACCCTGCAAGCAGATGGGTTAGGTGTCTGGGAAGACATGGTTGCATTCTATGAGGGACAGGGAAGGTATCTGGGAGGTTATCAAGGGTATCTTGCAGGCAGGTGGGATTGGGGCTTCTTAGAGGATGTGGGATGTGAGAGTGCCCACAAGTGACTGGGGCAGTGTCTCAGGGCCCACCTGCTCTGTAGGGTCCTCATCCTTTGGCTGCCGCGGCTCGTAGAGATCCAGCATGGTGTGGGAGCCCAGGCTGATGGTGCTGACGGTCGGGTAGTACAGTGGCCCGTCCTTGTGGGGCTGGGAAGTGGGCACCAGGGCTGGACAGGGCAGGAGTCCACCCCCCACCCCCACCCTCTCGGGTTCAAGGGGGCCTCCCAGGTGGGGACAGGGAGATGAATGCCTGGTGGGGTGTGTGGCAATGGCCTGCCCCATGATGGATCAGAGGTCTGGGAGTTGGGGTGAGGATGTGTAGTTACCATGATGCCCTCCCCAGGCAGATACTGGTTCACAAGGACGTGGTTGGCTGGGAGACCCCCAAAAAGATTGAGGTCAGACACTTTGTCCACGTAGCGCTGAAGCCACAGAGGAAGCCGCTCAGGAACCATCCCTCGGGGATGTGGGAGCCCACCTGGAGGAGGGCAATGGGGTCCTGAGAGCACCTAACCAAGGAGCCCTCGCACCTCAAGCCCTCACTAATGATATCACCAGGTTTGGTAGCACGCTGACCTTCTCAGGGATGCCTGATTCTTTGGAGATCACCACCCAACCCTTCAAAGGTTTCCTGATGCCTCAAAGGTTTCCTGGAACATTTGAAAGCACCAACTTATAAGGAAATTCCTAATCCCATAGAACCTCTACTGACACTTCTGAATCCTCCTGGCCCTTGGGACCCCTTGAACCCTCAAGGGCCCCCTAATATCTTAAGACTAACCAACCTGAAGCACCTTCTCTAACCCACATCCTTAAATCACCCATGCCCCCAGGCAGGAACACTTACCCCAATTCTGTAACTTCCTCCCAGAGAGCTGAGTCCACTTTGGCTTTGGGGCATTGAAGACCTAGGAGGTGGGGAGGGGGTCACTCATTTTTCAGGACTGCTCTGATTCTCCCACCCAGGCCAACATAGAGGTCTTTACCTGGGGTGGAAAAGGGTTATCTCAGTATCTGTGGGAATGGTTTCCTGAGATAGTGTTCCCAAGATTTTGCTCTTTGCTCTTTCCCCTGTGGCAGCTGCTGCTAGCCCCAAAGCCTACCTATGTCTACTGGGATCGAGGAAAGGAACCAGGGCTACACAACTTCGGTCTGAATCTACTTAGAACTCTGGCCTGCATTGGGCTCTTTTAGCCCAGTAAATAGTCTGCACCCTGTAATTTCCTGGGCTATCTCAGAATAGTCTAACTTTTGGGACCTTCTTGTTTCTATTACCTTGGGGGCGGGGGGGGAGGGGGATGTACTACACTAGGCTATCTCAGCATAGCAAAGAGAGTACTTTGAAAAGTCTCCACTGCCAAGATCCCAAAGTTCTAGAATGAGCCATCTTCAAGAAGTCTATACTCAGTAATCTCCTTGTTCCCTTTATGGTTATGGGGCTGGAATGAGCTATCTCATCACAAGTCTGTGTTCTGTGGCTAACTTTTTCCTGGGACTCAACCTAGACAAGACTAGTTGGAACAGCACAGGGAAGAACTGTGCTCTATTATTTTTTGTGTGTGGGTGTGTGTGCTCTATTATTAAGGCTCTGGGGCTACAAAGGATTGTCCCAGTGCAAGGACTAACCTTTGTAAAGTTTTCTTTCCCCAAAACCTTAAATAGAATATAGACTGGATTACCTCAGCACAGGTGGTCTGTGTTTAGAAATCTTGTTTCCAAGACTCTGGGTCTATGCTGAGCTATTTAAGCAGAGGAAAGAGTATACTCTGTAACATTCTGAGGCCTTGGCTTCCTCAGCACTAAAAATTCTTCATTCCCCAAACATCAAAGGCCTGAACTGGGCTATCTCAGTCTATATTTATAATCTCCTTTTCTCTAAAATAGCAGGAGTGGGCTATCTCAGCACAGAGAATATGGGCTCTGTAACTTCCTCGTTTCTGAGGCTCTGGGCTTGTACTGGCCTATTCTAGCACAAGGAATCCGATCTCAATAACATCTTTGTTTTGGAAGTTGGACTGGCCTATCTCAGCACAGGAAATCTGAGCTCCATAATAATCACTTCATTTCTAAGAATCAGTTTGGTTTCCCCTAAGCTTCCTGGGAAAAACTCTTTCTGACAGGCCCAGTGGGTCCTGAGAGTGAGGGATGGGTGGCACTCTTCTTCCTGCCAGAATCTCCATTATAGCCTCAGGGGCTCTCAAGCAGGAACTAGGATTTGGGGAAGGATCTGGAAAGATGGGAAAAACAGACCAGAAGGGCACTGAGGTCACCTGTCGAAGCAAATACTCCTCCTCTTCCTTGGAGATGAAGTCAGGGACATAGTAGATTACAGGTGGTGCCTAGGATGGAGAGACCCCCCTGAAACTGGTGCCCTTTTACCTACACAGGGACCCTAGCAATGATGAGCAGCCCCCTCCCTCTGTAGTGAGGCTCAGGATGTCCCCAGACAGGCCAGGGCCTGAAGTTGAGGGACCAAGGCCCATTTTGGGGATAGAAAGTGGGAGTGAGATAGGGGAAGAATGAACCTGGAGGGAGCAGTCCCAGCTCACAAACCAGGAGTTGGCCTGCCTATCACCACTTTATCTTCCACCCTCAGTCCTCCCACTGTCACCCTCTGCACCCCCGTCCTGACAACCTGCTCCACCCGGAATGGTTCCAGGGCTGGGACCCTGGAGTCCTGATCCTCCGACACCAACTCCATGCACCCGATCCTGTGAGGAGGAGAGAATATGCTAAGGTCACCAAGCCTCCTACCCTCAGGTTATGGTCCCACTTTCTGCTCTATCATGGGTCAGGGCCTCGGCTCAGCCCTCTAACCAAACTCACTGGATTTCTAAAACCTGAGTCCTCAGCCTCTCAAAGCCACCTAGTGAGCTTCCGGGCTCTTTGCCTGGACACAGTAAGCACCCAGAACATCCAAACTCCATCTACCATGAGCCTATCAAACTACACATATTTGTTCTCTCATGAGAGAACATCCTCTCACAGAGAACATCCTCTGACCCCACTGGGAGCCTTTCTCAAGAGCTTCACAGCCTCTAGGGCTGCACCCCAGAACCCCTTTAAACATCTTACCTTGAGACCCCTTCCTAACAACCAGATTTGCAATCCTGGGCCTCGCTCTCCAACAACATTCAGGATGGAGTCCCTATGGACTCCTCCTGCCTCAAGCCCTTTTAGATGCCACATTCTGAACACCCTGTATCCCCAAACTGAATCTCCTCTGACGCATCCATTCTGTCTCCTTGGATCCCCCCACTCTGGACTCCCTCAGATTTCCCTTCCCGCGCACCCCTTCACTGCAGCGCTCTTGGATCTAAAGCCCTGAGCCTGACTCCTCTCAAACCTTCTTTCTTCCCTGAATCCCCGAGCCGCCCGCCCCCTTAACACACACACACACACACACACACACACACACACACTCCACACTCTGCGCTCCTCGGACCCCCACCCTCAGACCCCTATTCCCGCCCTCCGCCACCCACAAAACTGACCGTCCACCAATGTCCCCACCAATATCCAAATTCAACACCCCTTTTCCTTTCCCAGCCATTTCCTCCCTCTCGTTTCCGACGCAGGAGTCCTGAGACCAATGGGAACTCTCACAGGCCTGAAGGGTCCGCCTTCCACCCAATTGGCGCTCTCACCCAATATTGTCCCGCCCCCTCACTCTCGTCCAGTGATAGGCTGCGCCTCCCGGCCTCTGAGCCACTGGGGACCCTTCGGTTACCCGGCTTCCTGTGGCACCGACCAATCAGCTCCAGAACCGAACCTGTCCACGCTGGAGTGGGCCCAGATGGGAGGGGCAGCCGTGGCGACCACAGGATGAAGATGGGACTCTTAGGACTCCCCGCGGACTAGATCGTCCTGTGCCCAGGCTGCGGGGAGGCGAGATTGAAGGAAGGACTTCCTCTCTCGTCCTCCCCCAGCAGCGGTGCAGGGGTAGGGCTGTAATCCCCAGACTCAGGTCCGACACACCGAAGCCATAGAAACGTCTTTATTGAAGGGGGCAGAGGGGTCATGCTGAGTTCTGGGACATGCAGTTAAGGGGTAGTCTGAGCTGTCCTTGGTAGTGAGGCCCCCAGGTCCGTCCTGGACTCCCTGGGCCTTCAGGGTCTCCCTCACGCTGCTAGTCTGGCCTGGGTGCTGTGACGTCATTTAGGGTCAGTGACTCAGATTTGGTGTTTTGGACCTATGACCAGAACGTGGATTGAAATGGGGGCTCCAGGATTTGGGATCCCCTCAAGGCCTTGGGGTGCCCTTCATGTATGAGATGGAGGCTTTAGGATTTGGGGTTCTTTGGGGGCTGGGACTCTTGGAATTTGGCGTCTTGAGATCCATGACTCAGGGCATTGAAGTCCTCTAGTTTTCAGGGATGAGCATAACTGTTTGGGGTCTCCTAGTGCCTATGAATAGGGCTTAAGTTGCCATGGTAGCCTGGGATGCATGACCTGACTGCAGTCTCCTCCATTCCAGGCACAAGGACGTCCATGATTGGGGTTTCCTGGGGGCTTGGGATTGGATTTTTACATTTAGGACTCCCTGGGAATTTGGGGATCCCATGGTTTGGGGGTCCTGGAAATTAGGGCTTTGGGGTATTCTAGAAGGCTGTAGGACTTGGGGGCACATGGGAGTTTGGGATCCCCAGTCTCAACATGGGGGCTCCAAATTTTGGGTTCCCTCAAAAGGGAAAGTCATTACTTTAAAAATAGAGAATTTTCTGGAAATCTGGCCAGCAGAGGGGCTGTGGGCCATGTTGGGTGGGCTTCATACAAGGCACTGGGGGATTCTTGAGGGTGCAGAGGTTAGGAACACTTGGGGGTCCTGTAATTAGTACTTCCAGGACTATTTTGGTATCTGTAAATTGGAGGTGTCAGTGGCCTGGTTAATGTGTCTCTTCTTCAGGGGTAAGAGCAGGGGTCTTTGTAAATGGAGGGGGCGGTCTCTGATTGCAGTATAAGGGTTTTGGGGTAACTATGGGGAATCACATCTTGAGGGGACTGATGTTAAATGTAACATAGTGACATAAAGGTCTGTAACTGCAGCTCTGGAAGCGTGACCTGTGTTTATTTCAAGGGGATTTGATGGGATCTTTTTTAATGGGGGAGAGTTCTGGGATGAGTGACTGAGGAATGTTCTGCTGTGGAGCATTATGTGGAGAAGGTCACCATTTGGGGTGATGTGGAAATCTATTATTGGGAGTCCTGCTCTGAGTGGTTGAGGATAGGGACTAACCTGAAGGAGCTACACTCAAGAAATCTTTCTGGGTAACATGGGATCTGTATTTGGGCATTTACCATGGGGGAATCTGTTAATGATGGGGCCTCAGTGATTAATAAGGGCTGGCTAATGGGGATCTCTAGTCTGGATGTGTTATTGGGAATATCTATCTCAGGGTGACCTGGGGGCTCCTTGTGTCAGGAGATGCTAGAGGGGCTGTCTCTTTGTCAGGTGTCCAGGGCCTCTAAGACTGCATCTCCGCCCTCAGCATCCAAGGAAACCAGCAGCAGAAGAGCAATCTGGAAAGGAGAACCATGTCACTCCTTAATGTATGGATGGGAACATCTGGGTCTGTCTCCCTCAGCTCTTCCCCAAATGTTTGGCCTTGCTGGATTCTGCCTCTGCCTGTTTGGCTGTGCCTTCCCAGGCTCCTGTGGAAAGTGTTCTGCCTCCCCTAAGTGTCCCTTAAAAGTTGAAGTCTCCAGAATTTAGTGCAGGGCCTCACTCCCTAAAGACCGTTTCTCGGTAAGCTGACTAGTCACAAGTTTTCCTAACCTCTATTTCTGGCCCCAACCAGAGCCCCAGACCCCTGTGTCCAATGGCCTGGCTACGCACCTGGAGATTGAGTTCTCTGATGCGATGTCCTTTGGGGTCCGGACTGTTGTAAAGGTGCGTTTGGGCTGTGTCACTGAAGGGGAGGGCAAGGTCTCAGGTGAGGGGATGATAGACCCACTTGTGTCCTCAATACCCACCCAGACTCTACCCACCCAGACTCCTGGACCCCACATTCCCAATATCCATCTGAACCTTTTTTGTCAATAATATTCTGTGTCCTCCAATACCTACCCATGTCTCCAGTGCCTGCCCAGAGCTTGTTGTTAACATCCCCATATCCCATAGCACCTATCTTCTTGGGGGTCCTGTTTCATCATTTTCCTGGACTCTGTTCCCAGTTTAATACTGGAGAATCTGTCACTAGCATGACCCTTCCTCCTGTCCCCAAACCCTCCTCCCCACACTCCAGTCCCCAACTCACTTGTCACTTGATGTACTTTTTTGGCTCCGACATTGTCCCCAGGGGGGTCAGTGGATCCACCAATCCTGGGGAGATATGAAGAGTGGGAGGAGTCAGAGCCTCAGAAGCCAGGGTCTGACCTGGGGATGGGGGTCGGGGGCCCATGCGGAAAGAGCTCAGGTGTGGGGGTGGGTATCCACACTGTCCTGCTAGTCCAAGAGGAGGAGACAACTGAAGAGGGAATCAGGGTCCTGGGTGATACTTTGAATTGGGCTCACCTCTGGATTCGGGATGCTGGTGCAAAGACTCCATGCTTTGGGGAGCAGGTGAAGTACCGGACACCAAAGACAGAGCCATCATGCTTGCCCGTGGGCTGGTCTAGCTCAATTCCATACCAGTAACCTGAAGCAGAAGAGTGTCAGACCTTGAGGCCCTGCCTGTCTCCCAGCCCAGATCCCCATCCTCACCTGGGGCAAAGTCTGTCTTCCCGTAGAAGCGCACAACCCCTTGCTTCTGGCCTGCTACAAGGACTTGGTCTCCAACCGCAGCCTTGGCTCCCTCTCGCTGCTGCAGGTTGCCCAGAGATGGGGATGATGGGGGCTTCTTCTTGCCTGGGGGTAGAGGGTACAGGGGTGAGGGTAGGATGGGGCTCCAGGCACCAGCCCTGGGGACCCCAGGGCACCAGAAAGCCCCAAGGCAGAAATTCTGTTCTGGCTCTAATCAGGAACTCCAGAGCCTTCCCTAGAACTGCAGGGCTTTGGTGTGGAGGGAAACAGTCCCAGCCAAGTTAAGAACTGGGAGGATCCCAAAATCCTTTCTCAAAGCTGAGGATATTTGGGCCAATAGAAAAAACCAGTCACAGAAGTCAGGAACCCAGCCCCGCCGGCATGACTCAGTGGTTGAGCGTCGACCTATGAACCAGGAGGTCATGGTTCGATTCCCCATCAGGGCACATGCCCAGGTTGCATGCTAGATCCCTAGTAGAGGGTATACAGGAGGCAGCTGATCAATGATTCTTTCTCATCATTGATGTTTCTGTCTTTCTCTCCCTCACTTTTTCTCTCTGAAATCAATAAAAAAAATTAAAAATTAAGAAAAGAACTAAAGGTCATCCTCTAAAATTAGGGAGTTTGGACCTGAGGAGAAACTGAGTCATAGAAGCTGGGCTACCCACAGATTATCTCCAAGACTGGCTCTCCTCACACCTCGAGCTCCCCCTCTGACCTTTGTGTTCCCTTCGGCCTTTGCCAGTGACGCGGGAGAAGTCCATCCGGGGAGTGCGAGGTGTGGAGGTGACAGATGAAGGGGGTGCGTCCGCTGCTTTGGAGATCTTGGACACAGAGGCAAAGAGACCTGGAGGGATAGAGCCTGGGCTGGGAGTTGTCCAAGTCTCTGCGCTATGCCTCTACCCCAATATCACCCTCCAACCCCCATTACCCAGTCAGCCACAGAACTACTGAGTGGACCCCACCCACCACTCCTTTTGGGCCCCCGGTGGGACTGACCCTGCTTGGGAGGGCAGATGAAGTACCGGACACCACCAACACTGCCATCATTCTTGCCCTCAGGTTCGTCCAGCTCCACGCCCACCCACTGGCCACTGGCGAACTCCGTGGTCCCGCAGAACCGCAGTGTGCCCGTCTGGAAAAACAAGGGAGGATGTGGCTTGGGGAGGCCTTAGGAGGCTATGATAGATCACTGGCTCACAGGCAGTGTGGTGAGGGAGATGAGGGAGCCCCAGACTCAAATCTCAGCTCAGACATCACCATTTACTGGCCATATGACATAACCTCACTGTGCCTTAACGTGCTCATCTGCAAAATAGGAACAGAAACTGTGCCCACCCTATAGGATTGTTATAGAGCTGCCCTGTTCAATGCAATAAATAGCCACTAGCCAATATATGACAATTTAACTAAAATTAAATTAATTACACCAGCCACATTTCAAGTGCTTAATAGCCACGCGTGCCTTGTGATTACTTCATTGGACAGCATAGTTACAGTAACATTTAAAGCTCTCAGATCGGCCAGGTGCTGAGTAAGGGATTAGTGAGTGTTGACGACTATTATCATGTAACTTTGGTCCTGGGACCTCCTGGGTCAGTTTCATCTGGAAAATTGAGATAACAGTCCACCTCCTAGGCTTTGTCTGGTTGAAACACTTTTAATATATGTCAAATTGCTTAGTTGCAGGGAGTGTGGTTATTATAATAGCATGAGGCTCCTTTACCTAAGCCTCAGTTCTTGTCTAGAGGATGGGCTAATAAAAAGTGCCACTTTGGAGGGTTAGTGGGATCTGAGCAGTACCTGGCACACAGAGAGCACTTAGATGCACCAAGCCCTAAAGGAATTTA